GCTCCTATGGAGAATTAACATTACTGGAAACAGGCCCTTTGGAAATAGATACAGTATACCAAAATGAATAACACATCAGGTGTTCTGTTATGATCAGCTTTGGGGTGTTAACTTATACTTGTATAGGTTGTAGCTGACCTTGGCTTGAATCTTTAGTGTTCCTCCTGTTGTGCCATCCCAGGGTTTGACGTATGCATTTATGTTTTTTGGTACTGTGAACTGACTGATGTTACAATGGCTACCTGCAATCAGATATTAATATATATAATATAGTCTATTTAAATCTATGTTATTATAAATATAATGAGACAGGTCATATTCTTAAGTTTGTTTTCTTCGTCTTTCTTTTATTAACATTTTGGGTAAGGTTATTGACTTCTTCAAATACACATGTCTAAAGATGTCCAAGTAATGCATTCAGTTTGTATAATCTGATACAATTGTTTTATTGAAATCCTGAGCTTTATATTATTATTTATCTCAGTTTCATATTTCCTTAAGGCCAAATTAGGGCAGCTTCCGGTAACTTATATGAGATGACCATCCACACATATAAATGATAATCCAAACACATCTGAGATCATCATAGCTTATTTGCTAAGGTTGCAACATAGCCGAGATGTTCCGAACATACCCTCAGATAATCTAAACTTATTGGAAATGATCCAAACACACACCTGAGATTAGCATGATACCAGATCGATCAAGGATCCAGTCCTCTCCGCCATGATCTACACCCATACACGGGGGCTGAATCACCTCTCCCAACTCCCAATGTCCGACCAGGCCATCTTTCAGAGCTTCAGTCTATTAAGATAACAAAGTACATTTTGATGTTCATGTTTATACAACTTTCTATTTTCCACTACCACTCATTTTGTACTCGAGACTGTTAAGGTAATGTCAAGCAGGTTGTATTGCCAATAAGTGACTTGCAAGTACAAAGGGTATTGCATCTATTTAAGAAATGACCAATAGACAATTAGATAGATTACATAAACCTTAGAAGTTAAAGGCTACATACAACTGTACAAGAATTTGTTTTCTATTTATTAGCGCTATATTTCTTTATTTATTATTGAGTAATATTTAAGTGGCAGTTGTATGCTTATTCAAATGATTATTAAACAGAACCAGGTATGTTCCCTGTTTTGATTAGCTACATGTATAAGAGATCGTAACCCCTAGAATATCGAGGATGAGATAAGACATACTTGTATGTGAACATACAAGTCTTCCTGACCAAACATAACATTCCTTTTCGACTAAACTGACTACCAGCCACCTAGTTTTTTTGTAAAGAAGTTTCGAGCACGATTTTTCTATTAGCTTATCTCCCTCTAATTTGCAGTTTATTCTCATCTGAACAATTCAATATAGACGGGCGCCAGTATATTTCGACAAACACAAACATTGCCTCCCATTGTACAGAAAGTTAAATTGTTTGTACAAGAATAGCTTCCTTTCGTACAAGAATAGCTTCCTTCATCATTTTGCGATATTTATTTTGTAGAATATTTCCTTTGGTAATCACATTAACCGGCATCTATATAACGCAACATAAGGTACCGCCTTATCAATACCCGTTTGTACTTCTTTTGCCGCGAATCGAACTGCAAAGAATAGTTATTTTACAGTAAAAATATTGTCTTACTTACAGTCGTGTTAGCTGTACCAAATGCTTCCATGCTCCGTTTCAGATGAACTGGGTCCAGTGCCCTCTTCCAAATTTTGACTGTCTGCAATACAACAAGATAACATTATTGTTAGGAAAATGTACAATAAAGCCATATTTCAGTAAATTCAAATATTATGGAAATAAATGGATAGTCGAATCACTTTACGTGTCTTGTACACCTTTCGTAAAAGAATGTGTACAAGACATTGCCCAATCGATTCTTAATAACGTATATCATCAGCTTCATAGTCATAGTTTCGAGTTTCTGTTAGAACTTGCAATTCAGCGATTTGAGATAATGGCAATTTACAAAACTGTATATCGTCACTATTTCATCACAAACACATATGATACACTATTGAATTCTTTTAACATAGGAATACACGTTAATATACACATTTATGTAAAATATTATGGATGTTAGTCTGTTTCTGTATCTCTTACTCATGTTATCTATTATCTGTCGTCAGCGGTCGTGGTTTCGTTCACCTTGAAATTGGTTATGAATTAAAGTGAAGGGAACTGTTCTTGTTTACAAACGTGCAGACCAGCATTATACTGAATAAAACAGAGTGTCATACGTCAATACATGGGGTAGACAAGTGAAGATATAAAATATTTTGTTTATCGACCTTATTCCAGTTTATTATATCGGAAGTCTTTCAATACTAGATTCCGTAGGTCTATTGACAATGATGTAAATGTCCAAGATATGTATCGATCAACCAAGGAGCTATGGTTACCGCTGCTGACAGTGATTGCCGAATGGCATTTCTAATTTAGGTAGGAAAGCGCTAGTGAAAAACAGTAAACATGTGGTAAATTTGTCTGGAAGGTCTAACATCTATCTAGTGCTGCTGAGTCGACCTACTGTAGTATCCCATTGTTACCTTGATCAGGCCCTTGAATCTGCCTTGTTCACAACACTCCTCGCCACCTATCCACAATCCTCCAGTTGTAGGTAGGGAATTGGGACTGGCCTGCGAAATTCAGATAGGTACACATAATAATATACACCCAATCGTAGGATAAGATTTACATTAATAGTTGAACATGTACATCATAAAACGAAAATATTCCGAATGTTTCATTTATATGGCATACATAATCAGGGTTTTGATACACATATAAAACAGAAACGTTGGTGATAGGTTTTATCAAAATATCCTTACTATCTCTCCTAATAGATTAT